ATAGTATTTGCGATCACCGAGCAAGACGCTCAGGCCTCAAAATCAGTGATCCAAGGTACTCTTATTATCATGAATTTTAGGCGCGATAAATTTTATGCGTAAGTGATTTCTTTATCTTGAAAAATAATCTGTTCTTTTTAAAAATGAAATGAAATAATTATTTCTACTTATTATCATGAATTTTAGGCACGATAAATTTTACTTGTAAGCGACCTCATTATTTTGAAAAATAATCTGTTTAATAAAATTGTGATATTTTATCTATGTTAGAAATTTTAAATGCTGTAAATTTTTAGAAATAAATTTATTTATTTTTCTTGTCTATTGTTAGAGAATTTTAGATACTGTAAAATTATTAGAAATAAATATGATATTTCTGCTGTTAGTAAAATTGTAAGATTTCTTTCTACTGTTTTTGAATATTTAGACATTGTAAATTTCATGTGCAAATGACTGTCTTATTATTTAAAATTTGATATTTTTGCAATTGATTATAGGATTGTTGTGAAATGTTTATTTGTGAATTGATATCCCATAAATTGTGATAATTCCATATTCTTGAATTTCTATAAGAGTTTTTCTATACATATTAAATTGGCAATTATGCTATAATGTCTTTACGAACTGCAACCTTTCTAAATTTGAGCCCAAAATATTTGATTCGTTATTTTTGAAATGTTATTGAAAGTGACTGTTATTAATGGTTTCAGTGAAATTCATATTAATGATTTTAGTGATATGTTGAGTACATGATATTGCTGTTTTCAAATGTTTAAAGAGATTTAGAAATAATTTAAGTATGCAAGTAGACTCATCCGGTTTACCGGTGAGGTATAAGTGGACCTATCCGGGATGCCGGTAGGGATTTTGTGGACTCATTCGGTACGCCAGTGAGGTATAAGTGGATTTGCAGGGATTAAGTGGACCTATCTGGGACGCCAATAGGAATTAAGTGGACCCATCAGGACGCTGATGGGGTATATAGGTGACCTACTTGGGACGCCAGTAGGGTAATTTTATGGAATCTTTGAATTATGCACTGCCGTTAAAGTGTTATATGCATTTCAATCATTTGGATTATGTTTAATTGTGCATTTTTTAAAATGCTTTTGCTCGCATTGTTTTTAATTGACCTCCATTTTGAAAGTTCATTTATATCTTTCAATCATGATTATTTTTTAGAATTATGATGATCACTTACTGAGTAGCCAAACTCATCAAACTATGGTAAACATTTTTCAGGATAACTGCGGTTTCATTTTGAGTACTCGTCAAAGGCAACTTTGGAAGATATTGTAGTTGTGCCTAAGCTTTCTTTTGTTACTTTGTAAGAATTCGCTACTATAAATTTGTCCTACCAAGAGATGTATATATGTTTTGACTGTCACATCTCAGGAATATCAGTATTGTAAATTCTTGGGGTATGACAGGCTTAAACAAGCTCCTCATGCATGGTTTGAAAATGTTAGTTTGGTTATTGTTTCTGCAGGTTTCCAATAGAGCCATCATGACCTTTCCATGTTTGTCTCAGTCACACCCAAAGGATGTGCAATACTCTTACTATATGTTGATGATATAATTATATTTGGTGATGATAAGGTCACCATTCATCTGATCAAGCAACTTAGCCAGCTTTTCGAGATGGAAGATTTGAGATTCTTAAAATATTTTTTGGGCATAGAGGTTGCTTATTCTTCCCATGGGTATTTGCTTTCTCAACTTAAGTATGTCTCGGATATTGTTTCTCAAGCTCGTCTGGCTTATGATGCAAAGCTGATACACCGATTGAGTTGAATATCAAACTTTGTTCTACAAATGGTGAGCTCCTTCCTGATCCTATATTTTACAGACAACTTGTTGGAAGCTTGATTGATCTAACTATTTCTCAATTGGACATTGGTTATGTTGTTCATCTTGCCAGTCAATTCTTGAGTGCCCCACGTTCTATGCACTTGACAGTCGTTTTACATATTATTCGTTATATTGAAGACACGCTTGATCGTGCTTTGTAGTTCTCTTAATCTTGCACTCTTGAGCTTCGTGCTTACACTGATTCTGATTTTGCGAGGGCCACTACCGATCAGAAGTCTACTATATGTTTTTGTATTTTTCTTTGTGACTTCTTATATTTTACAGACAACTTGTTGGAAGCTTGATTTATCTGACTATTTCTCAGTTGGACATTGGTTATGTTGTTCATCTTGCCAGTCAATTCTTTAGTGCCCCACGTTCTATGCACTTGACAGTCGCTTTACATATTATTCGTTATATTCAAGACACGCTTGATCGTGCTTTGTAGTTCTCTTCATCTTGCACTCTTGAACGTCGTGCTTACACTGAGTCTGATTTTGCGGGGGCCACTACCGATCAGAAGTTTACTATAAGTTTTTGTATTTTTCTTTGTGACTCTCTTATTTCTGCGAATAGCAAGAAGCAAAAATATATTGCTCAGTCCATAGCTAAACCTGATTATCGAGCCATGACTCAAACAATGACGGAGATTGTCTGGCTTCGCTAGTTATTAGCTGACTTAGGTATGGAACCTTCTACTTCTAGTCCTTTACATTATGATAACAAAGTGTCATTTATAGTGTTAAGAATCCATAATTTCATGAGCGCACCAGGCATATTGAAGTAGATTGAATTTCAACAAGAATATTTATTGAATATTGATGCAAATAGATAGGGATCCCATTCTTTATTCATTATCTCTCATCTTCTGTATAACTTGCTAACTTCTTTATAAAATCCCATAATGCTCCTCATTCTCAAACCGTAGATTGAATTTCAACAAGAATATTTATTGAATATTGATGCAAATAGATAGGGATCCCATTCTTTATTCAACTTAATCTCTCTGCCATATCTCTCATCTTCTGTATAACTTGCTAACTTCTTTACAAAATCCCATAATGCTCCTCATTCTTAAACCTTGTCTCCAAACTCTCAATGGTTCGCTTCCAACCATGACGAGTTTGAGGAGGAGTGTGAGATTGTATACATATTTTCTTATTTATTTTGTAGATAGGATAATATTTCCTTGACCAAGTAGGTTGTACTAGGATATTTTTTACCTTTTTTGTACTTCATACTGGCAATATAATTTTCTTTCTTTTTTTTGTATACCACCTCTGTATACATATATGGGGTTTTCTCCCACAAGTTCATATATAGAAAAATAGAGATTATGCACAAAAGCTAACTCCAAATAGTATTCATAATGTTTCGTTCCACCCTCTCCTAACTCCATTGCCACATTCTCAAAATCCTTCTGTGACGCTCTAGCCAAAATTTCCAAAGCACTGTTGCCCTCGCAATCTGCCATATCACCCTTCGTAATTTGGCAAATCCTCCAAACTAAGATAATCGAGAATATTTAGATGGCTATTTGGCAACATTATCATAACTCCCGTTCAAATTTGAACCTTCTGATAGTAGCGGTGACTCATGCCCAACAACTAAGCCTAGAATCTTAGCTGATAATAGCTTCTTGGCACCCAAATCCCCATCCATGTTGTAAAAAAGAACAAAAATGTATTGATTAGCTTTATTTTGATACTAAATGCAATTGAGTGCCATATTTACACCACTAAGAAACAAGAGTATATTAGTATACTCTTGTTTCTTAGTGGTGTAAATATAGCACATAGTCAATTGCATTTAGTTATCAAAATAAAGCTAATCAATTGCAAATTTTTTATTGTCGAAAAAAGGAACTAAGCACATGCCCTAGCAAATATACAAACCCAAAAGTACTGTAGCACCCATGATTGCTTACTTGCAATATTCAAACAATTCATTTCATTACAAGGGAGAACACTCGCTTTTAATCTATTAGACTAGCGACCACAAGCACAATTACAATAGCAAATAAACAGGAGCTGGTTTGTCTCTCACGAGTGGCAACCACCTACCAATTGAAAGTAACCTTAAGAGACATTATTTAGAGAAGAAGCATATTCATGATTTCTTTCTCAGGAAGCACCTTCTTATCTTTAAAATCAAGCAGCACCCATGACATGGTCATCCAAAGCTTTGAAGGTCTTGGAGGCTAAATCTTGGATGAGATTAGGTTCAGGGACATCAGGGTTAGCCTTCTCATAGTGGATGTCCCACTTAGCCACACTTGACTTGGCATCAGCTGAGAGCACAACTTGGAGAGTTGCCTCGAAAACCTTGTAGAAACTTAGGATATCTCCATCCACCACAGCATAAGTCACCTTCTTGGTGGCATCATCGGCTACTTTGATCTTCTCTTTGGAATATGAGACAGGCATCCCTGTAAAAATCATACATCTCGATTTATCACCTTTGTGTCTTTATATGAATTACTCAAAGGCAGTGGTTAAAAAATCGCAATTCAGATTAGGAAATCGCTTATCATGATAGGAATCGGTGGAGGACAGACCTAGTTCCTTATTAAAACCATCTAGTTCTGTCAGATAACTGACTGACCTGGATCAGCCGAATTGCCTAGTTCCCCACCCTATTATCTTGTTTAATATCTTAATTGTTTAAAAATAAAATAATAATTAAATATTCTCTAGATGGGCTTGAAGAATTGCTTAACTGCATCAGCTTATTAACCGGCAAATTCATGTGGCAGACCTTGGCTTGTCATAAGATTCTACATTCATGCTAAAACATGATGTCATTACTGTACAAGGTAAAACCCAATCTAGGAGTATTTTAGGATCCCAAATTTTGAGAATCTAACTACTTCAACCCAATGACTAACAAAAGAAAAAAAAAAGGTTCCAAATCGCACTGGATATGTGCACAGAAAATACCACATCTCAAGATTGACAAAGACCTTCCAATTTTTGGATGGTGAGAAACTGTTGAAAAACTCAAAATCTAATTTTTTTTTTTTTTTTAAATTATCATCTCATGACTCTTAAGTGGATCCCAAAATTTTAGATTGAAAGATCCTACCAAACTCTTACACCAAAGGGAGGAAGTGCATAATATACTCCAGTGGGGGCATAGTATACCGACCCTTGAGTTATAGAACCAATGGCCAGTTTCTTTGTTGATGGTGTTTACTTCAACTTCTAAAATGAAATGTATGGTATATATACCAGTCATATTTTAAGAGTAACATAATATGATCCATATGGTCGTGATATCAAGATGCCCTTTCTTGTCAAAAAAAACAAAAAATAAATAAATAAAAATAAAAAATATAACCTTATGGATCATCATATTGAACCAATGAGTTGGATATTGATGGAGGGAAAGTGAAAGGTACAACTGAATTTATGACTTCTTTTGTGGGACTCTTCTCTATCGCTATTGGATGCTCAGGACATTATATGAACATATGGACTATGGAGGTGAAACCATGTTGTTACCCAGATTATCACGGTGACATTATGATCATAGGGATCAAAATCGCATCAGTATGCACATCCCAATTTCCCTCCCCATCACCATCCAACTTATTTTGATTTTGGGGTTGATACCCTCTATCCTATGGTTAGGTTCCAACCTATGACTAGGCTTGGCAACAGCCAGGCTGTACGGAGCCAGATACCCTCTATCCTATGGTTAGGTTCCAACCTATGACTAGGCTTGGCAACTGACAGGCTGCGCGGAGCCAGTCCTGGGGTAAGCTTGGCCCGGGTCCCTTTGCGATCGGCTCAAGCTAGGCCCATTCAGATTGGGCTGAAGGGCCCTGACTAGGTCCAATCCTGGTCCAATCCAAGTTGGGTCAAATGGATTCTTAAAAAAAAAACAAAAGAAAAGAGAAATGAGGGATACATCAGGCCAATCTGAGTTGGGCGAGCTATGGCCCCAACCCAAGCCCAACTTAGCCTGCCCTCGAGCTATGGTGTCCTAGCTAAGGCCTGGCTTCCTTAGACCATATTTTGTGGCCAAGGTCCCAATTTTTCAAGCCAAGCCTAGCTTGGTTATTAGACCCTTAATTGCCTAGTTCCCCTATTATATATAGCATGTAGTGTATGTTTTTAAATTGCCCCTACACCTTATAGGTTCTCCCCTTTTCTCCAAGGAAATATCTCATAACATTTTTTCAGGGAAAGTATAGAATGAGACCATTTACCTTTGATACAAAGTTGTCACATTAATATTGACCATTGGATATGAAATTGGGTAGCTGCAATTATTCTATTATTCTCAAACGTTGTGACATATCCAAACTATCAAATTTCACATCAAATAGTTGCAAGGAATTGTGACATGGTCAAAGGTAAATGGTCTCATTGTATAAAATCCCTTTTCTCAATCCAGTCCATGCTCCAAACATCCCATTTGGAAGTGAGAAAAAAGTGGTCGGCGTCCAGCTGTTATGGAGCAATGGCATCACTTACTAATAGTCTAGATCACTGCTCTGAGACTCAGCCGAGGCCACTCAGATTCGGCCACGTAACTCTATCTAGACTAGAATTCTGAGACTCAGCCGAAGCCATTTGGATTCAGCCTTCCGCCGAGTAACACTTGTAAAGAGGTCCATTTATGTAAGGGTGACTAACCAATACGGTAGTCTACTACTTTATTAATAAAAGTAGCACTCATATTATATATAATCATTTTTTTTTCTTATTTTCTTCTAATAAAAAAGGAATTGGACTCGGACAAATTATTCGGACTCGTCCGAGTAACTAGCCTTGGCCAGGTCTTGAGTACCTTGGCCAAGCCGATTTTCTGAAGGTATTCTTGATAGCACCTATGTATTTATAAATTTTCAGAAAACATTTTAAAGGGAAAAATTTTCAAAAAAACTACAAAAAAGATAGTTTTTTGAGGAAAGAAAAAATAACTCCTCTCAGACACCAACAAAAGCATTAATCTTGATTTATCAGCTGATTGCTTACATAGTGAACTGAAGTTCATATTATTCTTCTTGAGAATAAATGTTGTTACCCATCACTACAAATTACTATACATACAACATTTTTTTTGTCTCCTGACTTTTAATTCCAAACGCACGGTTTTCTTCGATTGACGATTTTTTAGCACTCTATTTCTTTTTTCACATTTTCCTGGCTCCACCTTTTAGACCAAAACCTGGATCCGTGGCGTGGATTGCTCAATCAATGGATCCGTGTTGGGTTGTTGGATTGGCTATCCAAATTAGTTTGAAACAATGATCAAAAAAAATATTAAAAATAAAAATTAAAATAAGGGTTTATGGGGTGGGAATCTAAAGGGTAAGCAAACATTACAGCTACTTGGTTTACCAATATTTTACCATTCCAAATATTGCTATACGAAAACTTAGATCAGTGAGGTGGATTGTTCCATCAATAGATCTGTGTCAGATTGTTGGATTGGCAATCTAGATTGGTCTATAAATCAGTGATTGAGAAATATTAAAAATTAAAATTAAAATAAGGGTTTATGGGGTAGGGATCTAAAGGGTAAAAAAACATTAGATAAACTTTAAAACATTAGATAAGCTTTAGGGAAGAACAATGTCGCGACCGAAATCATCCTAAAGCTGGTTCAGTCCAGACTGATTCTCAATCTAGATTGGTAATTAGGATTAAGTAAAAAGTTCATGCTAACTATTATCTATTTATTCTCCATCTAAATGAAATCCAGATCATAGAATAAATTGGACGTTGAGGGGGTGTATCCATGAGCACAATTGATCATTGGGCATGGGCATCCCCCTAATCAACCTGTGCAGCCGCTAATCAACAACTTTTTACAATTGCATGTGGTGGTCTGCTGTCTATTTCAACAATGGTAGGCAGCCTTTTGCCACCTAATGCAAAGGTCAGGATCCTGACAGCTATAGTCCGTAGCTATGATGACGAAAACGATGACAACGATGCGAAAATGATAAAAATAATTAGACTGAATCTTCTGATTGCAATTCTATTGTTAAATACGTAGATTGCTCTTAATAATAAGTTAATAACCATAGCTTTAGAGATATTTTTTTAAAATAAAAAGAAAAATACAGATCTTTTTACCTTTAGTACAAGGTTCTAATCATCTTTGGCTGTTAGATTTAAATCGAACGGCAATGAGAGTGCTATGACTAGACTTAAAGTACAAACGAAAATTTCTCAAGCCTTGTGACCCACCCCATGCTGTTGGATTTGATATCTGACAACTAAGGTGATTTAAATCTCCTTATACCAAAAGTGAATAGCTAAAAAACATACAATCCAAAATAAATAAGGGGAATTGAAAGGTGGAAAATGTCTTAAGAAAAAGAAAGAAATGATTATACATTGCCTTAAATTGTTTAATTTTAAAAATAAGGTAGCTGAGAAGTAATGTTTGTTAGGATTTCTTGAAATTTCCAATAAAACATGTGAGAAATTGAAAGCATAACAGAGAGATAAGCCTCCATCACCTTCAGCATAGTCTATGACCCTAATGGAGCCGACACTCTTGCCATCGCCTTCGACTACCTTGATGCTCTTGTACTGGTCAGGGAAGATCTTTGGGAAGAGCTCGGTCGAATCTCTGATGGCTGCCCAAAACTTGTCGGCCGGAGATTTCAGAGCCACCTCCAATGGTAAGCTACCTGCCATGCCTCCCTTTCTTCTTGTCTTGGCTACTACTACGACTCTCACTACTCTTCTTCTTCTTCCTCTGTCTTCCTATGGAACAAGGTGCGAGACCACCTATAAATAGCTCTTCAATGAAGCCCACTGTACTCATTTAAGATATAATTCAACCACCAACGCTGAAGTATGGTGAATTTATTACTTTTGGATGATACCAAAAACTTCAGCCAGCAATTTTTGGTTCGATTCCATGAATTTTACCAGTTAAATTCAGAGTTTAGTCCATTTTTTCCCCCAAAGAGGCCATTTTGTGACATCAGTTTTCAATCCCCATCTAGTGATTTCAATGCATGAAATCATGATTTAGAGCAATCCCCAGATAGTTATTTCAATGAATGAACTCGTCATTTAGGGCATAAATGATCTTTCATTTTTCAGGCTTTCTTTCTAATCATGGATTAATTGATGAGGTCCATCTTTTGCATTAAATCTGGATCACCCATTAAAAGTTTGATGACCTTGTATTCAGTGAGGTATGTAATTTTGATTACGATAGCATATTTGTTATTTCAAATGTTTTCACAGGTTAGGTTGTAGTTAATGTAGGGAGGTGTCTGTTGGGAATGGTGGGGCTTTTTTTTGTTGGGAAGGTCAATCCCTTAATGTGTCTAAAGGTCATTTCGAATTGGTTGTTCGATGCATCATCATCTCTCTAAAGGTCATTCAATGTGTCTCCGATTTGGTTGTTCGGTGCATCTATCATCTCTCTCTCTTAATGGTGGCAACATCCTGGCCATTGCCCCGAGACGACCGACCCCACTGGGCCAAGCCTGAACCATGCCAAAAAATAAATGTTGAAAAAATTAATGATAATAATAATAGAAAAAAAAAGCCGAACCAGGCCTAACTAGCATAGCCATATCCCGACCCTCAAGCCTGTGTAGCCCAAGCACTACTTTTTAGTACTGGGCGAATAGCGCCGGCCCGCCCGACAGATTGCCAGCCCCTTTCTTTCTCTATGATGTTTTATGGTAGCAAAGTGGATGTATAGATGTGTTCCATACTCTATCATCCGGTTGTTGGGTTCATTTGTTTTTTATTTATTGTTTGAGAAATTATCAAAAGTATATCATAAAGCTTTTCATACTTCGGAATACCAAAATCTCCCATTACATACACTCACACTTGTGTTTCATCTTTCTTTCGTTTTTGTATTTCCTTTCTGCCCCCGCCACGGACCTAACAAGTATGTGGCGACACGACAGACCTGCTAGGACCATGGCAGTTTCGAGAACCTATCATCATGACAGACCTGTTAGGACCATGGCAGTTTCGAGAACCTATCATCATGTTGTCATCCTTATCTGAGGCCATTGGAGTGTGAGACGTTTAGCATTCCATGCACCATCTTGAGCATGCGTACCGGTTTTCTCAGCCTTCGATGATTCAATCTCTCTGCTAAACTGTTCCAATCGGAACATCGAAAGACAGACCCATGTCCCCCAACATATCAGAGTCCTCTTCGTCCAAAGCGTCACTTTTATTTTCCGCTGGAAACTCACCATCAGGACCAGGTAGAAGCAGCAGTGGTCCCCCATCTTCAACAACGACATTCAGAGGCACTACAAATTCTGCATCCACCGAAGAAAGATGATGTCAATTATGCACATCGAGCCCTCCATTGACACCGATATTACCCTCTCTTCTCTTGTCCTAGTTCATCATTATCATAGTCCCGAACGAGAATCGCAAGAGGGTCAATCTGTGCTCATTGTTTGTCAAGTTTTGCTTTTTTTTTTTTTTTTTTGACAAATGTTCAAAAGTATTTATTGATGACTAAGTGAAAGAAATTACGTCACAAATCAACAGCAAAGGTAACGATGCACCTCCTTCAACCAAAAAATCGGTAATAGAGTTTGCTTCCCGATAGACATGATTGAACGAAATAGAAGGTTCAGCTAAATCCATTATTTGCGACCACAAAGATCGCAATTCCCACATAACCTTCTTTTTCTAATTTGTACCATTTTGTCACATTCAAATAGTCTCCTTCAATCCAGACATTACCTGTAATGCTCCTCTCAAACAAAATTTTCAACCCACACAACAAAACACTCAATTCAGCAAAATTTGCTATTTTTTCCCCCATCGGGCCACCAAAGGAGAGAATAACACAGTCCATGGAGTCACGTACAACACCACCAATGCCAACCCTACCTGGATTTCCAAAAGAACTTCCATCAAAATTTAGCTTAACACTCCTAAAGTCAGGTGCCAACCAAAAGCTCTTCAGTCTGGAACTAGAAATACCAAAGAAAAACATATTGTGAAGATTAGATAAAACATCCACAATTGGAATACCCCAACCCTCATTAGTCACTAATAGTCATATTCCAATGGATAGCTTAATTTTGGCTATGAGCTTTTCAAAGACAATGAACTTCCATGGAAGGTTCTTCTATTCATCTCCTTCTATATTTCTCAAAAGATAACCCCTTTAGAAATCTTTCATAAGACCTTTCCACCTACCAGCAAATGGCTTAAAAGACATCTTAGAGATAATACCTTCTACTGAATGAGGCATGACAAAAAGAATCCTAAGTATGTAGAAAAGCCAAGACACATGGTCAGGTTTTTTCATTTTAGCATAGAGACGAAATGGCATTATGCAATACGGGTAGATAATCAAACAGACACAAAAGCATAAATATTAGAAAAATATATAATCCCAATAAATGAGATGCCAACAATGTCTTTATTCAAATTTCAAATACCTAGATATTAAAATTCTATTTTGTCAAAAAGTGCAAATAGTGAGAATGGAGAAAGCACCCCAGACTTCCGAAATATTCCAAATAGCTTAGGTTCTTAGGCTAAAAAATTCCAAGTAGCTTATCAAACACATTATTTACCTGTTCCACCTCTTAGGAGGTTCCAGCTTTTATGGAGACAAATCTTCCACCTCCCAGGAAGTTCCAACTTTTAGTTATCAAACACACCCTAATTCAAACAATATCTTTTTAAAAAAAAATTATTACTCCATATTTTTAACTAAAGCACCAAGAGGTGCACAATCCAGCCCAAGTTTTTGGATGACCAAGTTGGATCATCCTTCCCATTTTCACTGGTTTGAAATACCTCTTTCAGGTTTGTAATAAGATGTTTATTAAAAAATCCTTCACGCAGTCAGTAAAGTTGAAATGTTAGGAATGCTCTATTACTAAAAAGTTGGTTTGAAATGTGTTAGTAAACTTAGCCCTGTTTGATGTGAGTTCTTCAAGCAAAATTGGGTTATTTAAAAACCATTAAACTAAATCACTAATTAATAATGACAGAATATGTTTCTATACAATGTTTATGCTTTTATTATGATTTGTCAAATTTTATTATTTAGCTCTATTTTTTTATTTTTCTATTTTTAATATTTTTTGAATTGTTTCAAGTTGTAAATCAAATCTTTCCATAATCCCTATTCTGTATATAGTTTTCTATTTTTGTACATTTTAATGTTATTTATTTCTTCTTTAGCTTTTAATTGATATTTTTATTTTAAGCTTTTCTTTTTCGTTTTTTGGAATTTCAAGCCCTTTTTGGGCTTGTACACTACTTGAGCGAGTCTATCGGACTTCCCGAAGTTACATCGCTCAGGGCAAAGTTCTGAACCGAGTTTGTTAAAACTCTTTGAATAGAATTTATGGTTTAAGTTGTTTTAAAAGGTGTATGTAATGTATGTAGGATTCATATAAAATGTAATGGCTCAAAAATAGCTGGTTCAAATAAGAATCACTAGGTTCAACCCAAAGATTGATGGATGGATGAATTGGATTTATAGACCATGAAATTGCTTCAATCCACCAATTTTTATTTTATTTTATTTTATTTTTTTATGAGAAATACTTATTATTTATTGTCGGATTTCCAGTGGTTTGATTACCGATCCAACTGATCCAGACATATACAGTTAGGGGGTGTTTCGACCCGGGGAATATCGAGTTATGTACACTAGTCTTGGAGAGCCAAAAGAGGAAGAAATTGACTGAGAATTAAAAGATATTTTGGGTCAAGTTGGTTAACCTATTTCTAACGAGTGAAATGCTACTCTTAGAACCTCCGAATTGAACTTAAAAAAGGAGCAACAAAAGGTTTTGTTAGGGTACTTCTACACATGAAAGTATTTCTTTAATGCATTCGGTATTTTTGACACTTTATATCCTTATCATACAATATAGTAACTTTTTTATCTAAGGGTATTTAGGTAATTAATTAAAAATAAAGTAAAAATTCTTGATAGAGAAAAAAAAAATATTCATTAACTATTGTAGATAATGACATCATCCACATGAGATAGGACATACCCACATTGAATATTAATTATTTTTTAAACAGTAAATAAAGTTACTAGTTTCTTATAAAAAATCTATATTATGCTTCTTAATGACCAGAAATGCCTTTGATCAAAAAAATTTATATTAATGAGTGCCTAATGAATGTTGTGTCTATTAAGGACATACTCTATATTTAGAAGTACCCTAGAAAACCCCAATATAGAGATAGAAACATATCTAACAATACGATTTATTTTATATATTGGGAGTCATAACCGTTATCTATCATTAGATATAAAATCAAGTGGCAAGAGATGTGTCACTGACTTGACACAAAATCCAAAACAAAAATTTTGAACTATATGGCACACTTCAAGTTGCCTAGTCTCACATCTGACATTTAATAGGAGTTATAAAATCCCAAGATTAAAAGTGTATGGTCTTATAGTAGAAAATCCCGAGATTAAAATTTATTCATGATTTTAGAATGTTAACACGATCAAGAAAATTATGTTGTTAAAAGAAACTGAAAATAGATAATAGGAGCTAGAAGAATCTAATTGTGACATGGAAAATAAAATTCAATAGTTCATAGATTACGCATGCTTGAATACAAGACAAGGAGATCTCATCACTGCCAAAGATCACAGGCGAAATATGCATGGAGTGATTGAAAGGAGAAAACACTTAAATATTTCTAATCTTCTTATATCATATATCAAAATCTAAGAACTTCATCTTAAATCTTTCCAATTCAACAAAATTAGGAAAGACATCTAACATAATATT